TTTGGCTGTTCCTCTCTGTTTTTTTTTTTTTTTTTTTTTCCTCTTTTGAGGGGGTATCCAGCCAGTCATCGCTTTTCACAGCTCAATTTTCGAATCTCAGCCTTTCATCGCTATGACGATCCGGATCTCCTGCTTGCCGATCCCGACCTCCTGCTTGCCGATCCCGACCTCCTGTGTACTGTTCGACGGACTTTCAGGATTGTGCGTTTTGCGTTTCTTTTTTTTCTTTTTTTTTAATATATCCCCATCTCTATCTTTCTCAACTGTGTCAAGAAGATAACAAGCATGTTCGACTGTATCTGGTCGCAAATCGCCCCATAGGATCATAGAGGCATGCATTCTGACCTGCAGAGTTCACTCGTTCCATACTACATTCGCAGGTCTATACCATTCCGCCATCCTCTCTCTCTCTCTCTCTCTCTCTCTCTCTCTCTCTCTCTGTGTGTGTGTGTGTGTGTGTGTGTGTGTGTGTGTGTGTGTGGTTTCGGTTGATTGGACTAAAGTGATTGATTTGAAGGAGGATTGCTTCACAATTATCAGTTGATCGGGTGATTGACTCAAACGATTGAACTGATGGGTTTTGTCCAATTATGACATTCATAAGTCCAATCAATTAACCGATCGATTGCACAGAGTCGTTGATTGGCTGATTGATTGCACTGAGTCGTTGATTGGAAGATTGGCTGCACCGAGCGGTTGATTGGGCCGCATTTGATTTGACAATTACTTCAATTGAGCGATTGATCAGGCGACTGATTGGGAGATTGATTGGGCCATTGATTGGGGGACTGATTGCTGAGTCAGTGCTTGGCCCGTCAATTGCGCGGAGAGGTTGATTGGGCCATCTTTGATTGACTGGGCGCTTAATTTGCCGATTGATTGGCCGCTTAATTAACCAATTGATTGATCGCTTGATTGACCAATTGATTGGCCGACAGATTAACCGAATGATGGAGCGAATGATTGGCCGATTGATTGGGCGATTGGTTGGGCGATTGATTGGACGATTGATTGGGCGAATGATTGGACGATTGATTGGGCGATTGATTGGGCGATTGATTGGACGGTTTACGAGGTGATTGATTGACCGATTGACGGAGCGATTGATTGGATGATTGATTAGACGATTGATTAAACAATTGATAGGGCGTTGATTGGCCGACTGGTGGGTGATTGATTGGGCGATTGATTGCGTGATTAATTGCGTGACTGATTGGGGGACTGATTCGGGGGTTGATTGGGCGATTGAATTGAGCCATTGACTGGAATCGTGGTGGAGTCGTTGATTCTCTCATTCACACACTCGATGAGTCGTTGATTCTCTCATTCACACACTTGATTAACACCAATTAACCCCCCCCCCCCACCGGTCTGTACCCCGATTTGTTCGGCGACCGGCAACCGAGGACCCCAATATCGGATATATTGATAATAACAGTGACGGTACAAAAAAAAAAAAAAAAAAAAAAAAAACAGTAATACCTTTCTCGCCCTTTTGGCTTGTACTCTCTGTTCTGATCATCAGTTTAACATCTGCCACGTGGTCCATCGGGCCAATTTAACCAAATCAAAAAAAAAAAAAAAAAAAAACGAACAGCAACCAAGAGATCAGACAACAGAGCAGAGGGGGGCAGCATCTAAACGGTATGGCAAACGTTTTCCGACGGTTGAGATCCCGATGAAGTTATCGGGAACGCCGGACTTTCATCAACGGTCTGTGACGATGACACGGGTGTGATGATGACACGTCTGTTGCCGTTGATGATCATGGTCATGATCGTCGTCTTCGCTAGTGATGCTCGCAAATGGTGGATGCTGATTATATACCGATGACGACAACGGCAATCATGATGATGATGATGATGATGATAGAGATGGACATTAGTGTTGTAAATACGATGATGATGATGATGATGATGCTGATGATGATGGTGATGCTGATGATCATGATGATCATGATGATAATGATGATGATAATGATGATAAGGATGATAATAACGATGATGAGATGGCAAAAGTGATAATGTGAAGAAGGACAATTGATGATGAAAACGATCGCGATGACGACGACGGCCATTAGTATTGGTGAAGATTTGGACTCAAGAAAGAACCAACCACCATCTGACGACAGGAGTACAGAGTAACATGAAGGTCATGAAAAAAGGTTCAGATGCGCAATAGCGATGGTGATGGTGATGATGATTGCCATGATGATGATGGTGAACCGTCAGATCCTCTCACCAACACCATCGCCATCACCATTGGTAATGATCATCGTCATTGGTTCATCACCATAATCATCACCATAATCACCACCATAATCATCTCCATCACCATAATCATCAATCACCATAATCATCACCATCACCACTGGTTCATCACCATCATCATCGCCATCGCCGTCGCCATCACCATCATCAATACGCGTTCCATACCTCCGAAAATCAATTTTTTGAATTTTTTTTCTGTATTATGAAGAAAGAAAAAAAAATTGTATAATCGTTTATGTCCACCACCCCTATATGTCGGCTAGTAATGATGTTACGTCCTTTTTCAGACAATTTTTACGTCGTTTTTTAGACAATTTTTACGTCGTTTTTTAGACATTCTTCCAGAAATTAGAGATTTTTCAGGGTTTGAGATAATAACTAAAAAATTTGCAATCAGAGACGGCGACCTGTTTCGTGTTCCTGGTGTGTATGTAGGCTTTAAATATTCCAAAATACCCATATAGAGAATTAAATAAATTTCAAAGTATCAAAAAAAAAAAAAAAGTTTCATATTTTAATATTTTAATTGAAGTATAGAGGCGCAGGGCCTCTCAAGAACATATATAAAAGCTTGAGTAGTACCGATCAAGAACATAAAAGGAAAACGCCATCACTCTAGGAAACATCGGTCCTACTCCAGCTCTTATATGGCTAGGTTCATCACCATCACCATCATCATCGCCATGGCCATCGCCATCGCCATTGATGATGGCGACGTTCATCGCCATCGCCATCGCCATCGCCATCGCCATCGCCATCGCCATCATCACCATCGCCATCGTCGTCATCACCATCGCCATCGCCATCATCATCATCATCATCAACACCATCGCCATCGTAATTGGTAAAGACGAGGTTCATCACCATCGTCATCGCGGTCGCCATTACGATGGTCACGATCGCCATCGCCATCACCACCACCACCAACACCATCGTCATCATCGCCATCGCCGTTGATAATGACCATGTTCATTGTACGAGAGTCATGAGGACGTTCATGGCGATGGCGATGATGGCCATAATGGCGATGGTGGTGGCGATGGTGGTGGCGATGGTGGTGGCGATGGTGGTGACGATGGTGGTGACGATGGTGGTGGCGATGGTGGTGGCGATGGTGGTGGCGATGTCAAGAGTAATTACTGTAATAACGAGGATAAAGAGGGCGGTGGCCATGGCGATGATGAAGGCGATGCTGATGATTGACGCTTTGGCGATGATAGTGATAACCGGGGTTTAGCTGTCAATTGGTCAGGTAGATGGTGATGGTGGTCCCCACCATCGCCCTAGTTAGACCCCTTCGCCTACCTAGTGGCGATGGTGAGGACCATGCTCATGCTGATGGTGAAGACGATATCAAGAGTAATTAACAACGAAGGGTAAAGATGGCGGTGGCCATGGTGATGATGATGACGATGATGATGGCGGTGGCTATGGTGATCATGAAGGCGATGGTGATGATTCCTCCTCCCCCCCCCTCCCCACCCCTTCCCCCCCAACAGGGTCTTGGCGATGATGGTGATAACCGGGGTTTTGCTGTTGATGGTTATGTTGATAACCCCCCAAGTTAGGTGCCTTGGCCTAACGGTACTCATCATCCTTGATTAGTTTAGGGTAAAGATGGTGGTGGCCACGCTCATGATGAAGGCAATGGTGCCGATTGAGGCCATGGTGATAAGATAATACTGTAGTGATGCCCCGCCCGGGTTTAGCTGTCGATGGTCATCTAGGTAGGTAGTAACCCGACGTTAGGTGCCTTGGCCTACTCTCTTACTCATCGTCCATGATTAATTCAGGTCAGCTTTCTCCTCTTTCTTTTCGTTTTTTCTCATATATATCAATCCGTCGTGGGGTTTCAAAGGTGTTTTTTTTTTTGTTTTTTGTTTTTTTTGTACCAGCAGTTAAACAACGATTTTTTTCCTCGCAAAGTATCTGCCAAACGACTTAATTCAATATTGACACGCCGCAAAAAAGAATTTTTCGTCTGAACTTGCACCGGTCGGTAAGGAGCACCCGGATTGTCGTCCCCCCCCCCCCCCCCCCCAAAAAAAAAAAAAAAAAAAGATGGGCGGGGGAAGACTGGGTGTGTTTAACTTTAAATTTAGAAAAAAAAAAAAAAAACTAAGAAAGAAAGAAAAAAAAAGAAACTGCCTTCTTCCCCCGAACAAAACGCACGCTGATAATGAACGTATACAAGCCAACTTTCCGGTCCGATGCGGGCATAATGGGGATGCGTAGTGTTGGGGGGGGGAAGAGGGTAGTATCATTCCGTTGCAATTGACTTTTTACCGCTTCGTCTTCCTTCCTCTTCCAGGTAAAATTTCGGAGGTGCGTTCTGTTCGGGGGTAAACTTTTACCTGATGACAAGCTGAAGGAAGATGAAGGACGATGAAAGATAAAGAAAGAAAGAAAGAAAAAAGAAAAAAAAAGCTAAAAAGAGAGAAGAGAGGGAGAGAAAAAAAGAAGAGGGAGCAAACAGGGGAGAGAAGAGGGAAGACGGAGTACAAATGGAAAAGGGAGAGGGAGGAGAGAGGAAACAAGAAAGGGGGTTAATTAAAAAAAAAAAAAAAAAAGGGGGGTGACCAGGAGGTGATGATGGCCTCGAGCGTCTGACAGAAAAGGTCATCGAGGCGAACAAGCAGCAGGAGGAGGAGGAGGAGGAGGAGGAGGCGCAGAGAGGGCGGAGAAGGAGGAGGCGCAAAGACGGAGGAGGAGGAGGAGGCGCAGAGAGGGAGGAGAAGGAGTTGATGATGGCCTCGGGCGTCTGACAGAAATGGTTATCGAGGCGAACAAGCAGGAGGAGGAGGAGGAGGAGGCGCAGAGAGGGAGAAGGAGGAGGAGGAGGAGGAGGAGGAGGCGCAGAGAGAGAGGGAGGAGGCCGCGGAAGAAATGCCAAAGAGAAGAAAAGGGTAGGGCCGAAGTGGAACGAGAAGAGGAGAGAGGAGAGAGAGGAGAGACAGGAGAAGACGAAACAGGAGAAAGAGAGGGGAAGAGGAGAGAGAGGAGAAGACGAGAAAAGGAGAAAGAGAGGAGACCAGATGATGGCCTCGAGCGTCAGACAGAAGAGGTCATCAAGGCAAACAAGCAGCAGCAGCAGCAGCAGGAAGAGGAGGAGGAGGAGAAGGAGGAGGAGGAGGAGGAGGAGGAGGAGGAGGAGGAGGAGGAGGCGCACAGAGAGAGGGAGGAGGGCGGGAAGAATTGCCCAAGAGAAGAAAAGGGTAAGGCCCCGAACCGCAACGAGAAGAGGAGAGAGAGGAGAGAGGGTAGAGAGAGAGGAGAAGACGAAACAGGACAAAGAGAGGGGAGCAGGCAGGAGGAGGAGGAGGAGGAAGAGAGAAGGAGAAAAAGACCCCTCCGCCCACCAATAAATCCAACCATACTTCTCTTCCTTTTCAAATACAAAACGAGACAACAACATAAAACGCAACCAGGAAGGAAAAAAAAAAAAAAAAACAGGAAGGAAAAGATGGAAGAGGTATTTAAATTTTAAACAGATTCTTAATAAATTAAAAAAAAAAAAAAAAAAAAAAAAAAAAAAAAACAGATCTGATCTAACCTCCGATGTGCTAGAGCCAAACTGAAGGAGACCAGCTTGCCCCTCCGCAGATTTCTTCTTCATCTCTTCTATCCTCCGTCTCTCCTCCTCCCTTTGTTGAGTGAGTCGGCGGATACGCGCCGCGTCCGCCGCATTTCCGACATATCCATCTCCAGTCGACATCGCCACGTGTCGCGACTCCTCCTTGCCACGTGTCGCGAGATTGTAAAGCAACCACGAACACGAAACTTCCGCGATGGATCCCAAACACCCAGGTGCAAAAAAAAAAAAAAAAAAAATTGATATTTTTTTCTACTCCTTCCCTTCTGCTCTTCCCACCTACTCTCTCTCTCTCTCCTCTTCGTTCGTGCAACCTTCGCCTGAGCAGCACGGCTATCGTAAGACGACCAGTTCTGGACTTCCTCCTCCCTTTCCTCTCTGCTCCTCTCCCTTCTTTCCTCCCTCCCTCTCTGCCCCCACCGGCAAGAGACACGAAAGATGAACCGCCTCCAAACCTCAACGACTCCCCAAGCCCGCCCTCTCTGCCCCCACCGGCAAGAGACAAGAAGATGAACACACACACACACACACACACACACACACACACACACACACACACACACACACACACACACACANCTTTCCATGGGGTGTCGGTGCTACAGAAAATCTGGCTCTGTTCGTTGGTGATCCACCGGGTCCCGAAGAGGGGTTGTCTTGCCACCTCCTCCCACTTGTCTGGGTGTGGGCGAGTCGGGGGGAAAAGTTTTCTCCAAATTTTTAACAAACGAGGCCAGAACTCGTCTCTCCCTGTCTCTTATACACATCTTGTTGTGTATAAGAGACAGCACACACACACACACACACACACAAAAAAAAAAAAAAAAAAAAAAAAAAAAAAAAAAAATCCTTTCTGTCTCTTTCCTTCTTAGTCTCTTACGACAACCGAAATTAGATCGACCTCGCTTTTCCCAAAAAAAAAAAAAAAAAAAAAAAAAATTAGATCGACATGGATTTCAGGGCCCTTGCGGTTTAGACGCTGTGTGCCACGGGAGCACCGACAGAGATGTCTGTATGTTGGTTTTCAGATGCATACCAGCGCGAAGGGCATGTCTTGCTTTCCTGCCTTTTTTTTTTTTCCCCCAAGTCCATTCCCTCTAGAAAAGGTGAACGAACCCTCCCTATGTGGCTGAACGGTACACACGTGTACAACTGTAAACAGCTGACGAGTTCCAGATGGACACAATAACGCAAGGAGCTCTACCCCCTTTTGAAAAAACAGGGAAACGGTAAAAAGAAGCCTCCAGTACTGGAGTTCATTCTTTTTATTCGACTAATGGGGCTCATTTTTCAGCACGGGGTTTTTCAGCTCGGGCCTACTGGTAGCTCAGTTGATAAGGCACGCAGGTGGCATTCAGGAGGTCTAGAGTTCAATCCCCGATAGCCTCATGTACCTTCCTCAGTAAGCTTGGCGCCCACCACCTAGAGCTAGGCCGTTGATCGAATATTGCCATGAGTAAGGGTAATTTCAAAGAAGACGTGCATATGTAGTGTGGGACCAGAATGTTTTCAGAAACTGGGACCGCGATCCGAGTGGTGGATGGTCAATCTGGGTCTAATAAATAGACCACCTGAGCAGATGTATGTGCTCCTTGGAGGCAATGATGGTGGCCGGTTTTGTCGATTTTGTGGGCTTTAGCAGATGTTCTGGTAGTGTGTCTAGAAGTCTAGCAGATGTTCTGGTAGTGTGTCTAGAAGTCTAGCAGATGTTGTTATAGTGTGTCTAGAAGTCTAGCAGATGTTCTGGTAGTGTGTCTAGAAGTCTCATGTTTTTGGAAGTAACGAACATGGCCGGTATTGTCGTTTTTGTGGATGTCCTGGTAGCAAATTGGGAAAGGGTCTGGAAGTTCTTTGGGTCTTGGAAGGAAGGACGACAGTTTGAGGCTGCTTTGTGGTAAGTTGTATTGAAAATAGTGACCGACTTTAAGATATACAACCTTGGATGGTGATCTACGATGTGTAGTGAATTTCAGATCAATACGCAGGGTATAAATAGGTCTAGCAACTGTATGTTCAATACCTTATGCGACCAGTAAAGACCCCTGAGGAGTGTCAGGGGCGGCCGGCTGAAACTAGTCGGGTCCTAGCCGCCAGTACTTATTGTATCTCTTTTGACATGAGTCACATTTGGGATTTATTATATCTGCGTATCGTTCTTTCTCCTCCTACTTCTTCTGTGTACTCCATCCTTCTCGACACTTTCCTGAAAGTTGTGGATGATCTCACTCGGGTCTGGTCAAGTCATTGACGCACTGAATTGCATATCACTTTGACTCCCAGAGTAACCACAGTAGGAGTAAGACTACTGGGCGTGTGGCTTCGCCACCTTGTGTAAATTGTTAAGTGTTGCGATG